TTATTATTACTTATTACATTTGTTTAGCTAGTTCAGGCATGAATCTTTTTCTCTTAGGTTATGTTGCAAACTTCTGGAGCAAGTGAATGATTCCTTTTTGATAACTAGCAAAATGCTATGTCTATAGTAGGTGCCCAGAAAATGTTTCATGAGAGTAGAATATAAGGTGAATTGACAGGCAAATTAAAATAGATGTCTGGAGATAGGACCAAGGTTAAAGCTGTGTCTGATAATAGTTAAGACAAGCAGAGGACCTAACTATATCAAGATAGAGCTGCTTTCAAAGCTCTGAGGTCCACTGTTTTGGTTAATGTTTAAGTTGACTTATTTTAATAAATAGTTATCTTGCCCCCAAAGTACTTTAAGTATCAAGTTTCAGTGACCTGGGCTTTGGTAAGTAAACATAGGTCCACCCTGCCAACACCCTATGTGACTTTATAGACTTTGTGCCCGCCTTGTTTTTCCAGATTGCAAAATCCTAATCTCTGCGCCTTGGCAAATTAACTTTTTATTGCCAATGGATGAGATAAGACTCCCTGTCCCCTTGCCTGAGGCGGGATGCAAACACCTGGGAGAGCAATACAGTGGAAGACCATCTTGAGTCAATGTGCAGAATGAGCAGGTGTCCTTGATCTTGGCCCAACATCATTCCAAGGCTCTTCTGATCTCACTGTGGTTTCACTCTCCTTTGAATGGGGAAAACACTTGGCATCTTCTGATACCCCTAAAAAGGGGAAATCTGTGCTTTCAGCAAGTCCTCTGTCAGTAAGCTAAGTCTTAAAATGTCCAGATCACAGCTACAGGGAAAGGAGCCTGTGCCAATGTCCAGAGATTTGATGTACCCCAGCTCCTCATGGTCACTCCTCTCAGCCAGTGGGAGTCATCTCCTCAACTCTGCCAGGCCACACACCCTCCTAAACTGTGTTGGTGATTCTGCTTCTGTCATTTTTTCAGTTGTAGGAGGATAGTGGTGTTGTGGGTGGTGGTCTTAGAGCAAATTCTGTGAATAGAAATCCTAGAGAGATCCCTCTTGAAAGAGTAGCATCTTGGCCAAGAAACTCAATCCTTCAGACTGGAGCATTTTTTAGTTGGCTCTTCTCAAGTTAGTGAGAGGAATGAAAGAATGGGGACATCAGCACCTCCAGTGTTCAGAAAACAAGAGAAAAGATATCCTGCCGGTCACTGGGTCATAAATTACACATTGCTACCTTCCCCTGGCCTTCAGAGAACCAAAGCATGCTTCCACTCTTGTCACAAACCTTTCTCATCTGTGGGGCTTGTTTTCATTTCTCACTGCCCACGAAAAGATCTTCACAAAGCTCCGTGCAGTTATTGTGCTATTTCTGTGATGCTTTCTCAAGACCCTGGGGGTTACTGTTTTAGCTGGCGAATAATGGTGGACCAAGGAGGGTCTATACCTTCCAGGTGCCTCCCACATCCAGCCACTGGCACTGCCAGGTAGTCATCTCAGATGAGGAAATGCACTGGGAGGTGCAAGGGACCCCAGATCAGTACTTCTCAGACTCTGACATGCAACAGACCCCTGAAAGTCTGGTTCAAATGCAGGTTCTGAATTCACAGGGCTAGGGCAGGCCCAGGACAGATTCTGCATTTCTAATAAGCTCCCAAGTGATGCCAATGCTGCTGGTCCACAGACCACACTTTAAAAAGCAAGGGGCAAGACTGAAGACAGGAAGTGTTATGAGGCGAGAACAGGGATCATGGAAAGAATGGAGCGAGAGCATGAAAAACAAGCTCCAGAGGGAGCTGGTCTGATGGTGCTCTAGCTGCATCATCTCATTTCACAGGCTTCCCTGCAAGGCCCTCCCAGGCAGGGGCAGGCCTCTGTGGCTACAATACGTGCTTTGATACAATGTGTTGGCTACAATAGGGGTGCTTTGGTACTTCCTGTTCCCCTTTTACCAGAGGACTGGAGCACACAGCCCCCCACACTCAGTTCATGCTGGAGAAGGGTCAGGGGCTGGAGACCTCCTCATACCCTCCCGTAGGCAGTTGCTAGGGAAGGGAACCCTGTCTTGGCTAGAGCCAAAAGCCATACTGGCTCTGGTCCTTGGCCCTGGGGCAGTTTTGCTAAGTAACAGCAGGTTCTTCAGGTCAGCTTCAGGGCTAACAGATGGGCTCTCTCCTCCTCAGCTTCCCCCCAGGCACAAGTCCCTGAAACCAAAGGAGTGACCTTCTTCACTTTCTTAACGAGCAGCTTCCACTTACTGGGTGCTTACTATGTGCCAGGCTGTGTGAAGCACCCTCTCACACTGTTTTAATTTTCACAATTACCCTGTGAGGTAGAAACTGGTTCTACCTTTATAAAGTAGGAAACTGAGGCTCCAGAGGTAATTTGCCCAATACCTTATAACTAATAAGCAATCTATGCCCAATCTATGCCCTTCCTACCCTGGCACTAAACCATGACTGAATCATGCACCTGTGAGGTCAGGAGACTGTGGGACTGAATCTAGGAGAGAAGCCTCAGGATAGGAATTTAGATGAGAGAGCAAGGTAACTAAAGTGGCTTGATTTGGTTTATGTCCTTTGAAAACCAGCAGAAAGTCAATATTGTGACTGTCCCTCTACTAGCTTCCCTCATCACACCAGTCATAGGTTCTTCTGTGTCAGCTGGCAGAGACACTGTGTGGCCATGAGGGGACTTGCAGGTGGTTGTTACTGGGCTCACTAGCCTGAGAAGGTGGTAGCAGGCAGAGACTTGACTCACTAGGGAGCACCAATTCTGAGGAGTAGCTGGCCTCCCAGGCAGCTGACAGAGGAGTCATTTAGGAAAATGAATCAAATAGTACCAGCCCATCTATCTATATGACAAAGGAACGGTGCCCTGGGATGGAAATGCACTCTTGGCTTTGGTTCTTCATTCAATAAACCTAATTGACCACAAGCACAGTGCTAGACTTTGCGGGACTGTCAGATACTATGGGCCCTTAATGAAGATCAGCAGGTTGGGTATGTAAGTAACCAAGCAGTGGTGGGCACTGCAGTGAACGAGAGAATTTTGCTCAGCTGAAGATGCTTCACTATTTTGCTCTGGGTGGTTGTAGTCTCTCAGTAACAAAAAAAAATCTATTGACTTTTTTTAAAGAAAAGCCAAAAATCAAGATCCTATGAACCTTTCCATTTGTAAAAACAAAATGTAGGCCAACATGCAGCCACTAGCTTGCAAACTATTCCTCGCTAACCAAATCCTATCTTTTCCTGTTGTACCTTCAGCACCTGACAATTCCTGGCAGAAAAAAGCAGTATGTGCCTGGCACACCAAGTGAAACTAATCCAGAGGCAATGGATCTGGAATCATTATCGTATGTAGAACAGCTGATGCAACCGGGGAGGATTTCTAGCCTTGGAAATGACTGAGGCATTACAGTTGTTACAAATAAGAAAACCCTCATAAAGCTAGGGCACGTGATTTTGCCAACCTTTTAAGGTCGGGGGGCGGGGACAGAGGGGAGGAGGAAGCGGCTGCTTTTAAGTAAAATATACATTTGGCAATTGGCCTTTGTTCCCACTACTACTATCAATACCTTGCCCCATTTCTTTATTTGTCCAGCCCCTAAAGGCATTTGGCTTTCATACTTAACAGGGGAAATCAGGGTGTGCCCAAATTTGAGTCGCAAATATCCAACCTTTTACCTAAGACTCTTACCTAACTCAGGGTTTTCCTAAGGATTAAAATGAAATAGAATACTTCATGCGAGTGCTTGGCAAAACCGGCAAAGAGTTCAAGATTATAATAGAGGTTTAGATGTTTTCTATAAAGCACCAGAATATTTAATTATCAATGCATAGTTACAAGGAATCTGATGTGGACTTAATAATATCCCTGTAACAATTCCAACTGAAATAAAATTATAAACCTGAATGTTCCAAATAGAACAGCAAGGGCCATTCCTCACAGGACATCAAGAGGTGATTCCTGCTCCAGGAATATGACTTTTGTGGTCTCTGCTCTGAGAACCCTATGACTATATGCATAGCATAGCAAACTATGCTTATAATTCACATTAGAATATGGCTGATCTCTGTGGATATGGGAATATATACAAAATAGAGTTAAGTGGGGAATAAAAAGAAATTATAGAACTATACAATGGGACCTTGAGGTTTTTTTTTAAGATTATATATACACACACACATGCTTAGAACATTTCCGGTATATAAGAAACTTAGACAACCTTGGGGACCCGGCTGGGGGAGCAAATGTTTTTGCTCCCCAACCAAATGCTTACCTTTCACTCTATACCCTCCTGCTCCATTTTTCTCTCCCTCCTTACCAGCAGCATCATTACCATTATAAAAAGAACCAAGTAATTTGGTTTGGCCCAAACCTTCCGGTTTGAGCTTTGCTTTGCAAACACTGCCCAGGAAAAAGCTTTATACATTTCCTCATATTTTCACTGCCAAGGCCCAAAAATTTTACTTAGACTATTGGACTCCTGAGCCTACCCTCCCATTAACAAATGTACCTAACTTTGGAAGCTTTCAAGTCACCCTCTCTGTCCCTCATTTCTTGAGTCATAGTGTTTTTTTCCATGTGCACTCTGTCCCTCATTTCTTGAGTCATAGTGTTTTTTTCCATGTGCATCCAGCCCCATGGTTCTGATATTGTCTGAACACTGACTCCCAAATTTCTACATCCAGCCTAGACTCCCTTCCTGAACTGAGCCTGTGCAATACAATTGCCTAGTCAATAGCTCCATTTGGATGTCAAGTAGGTATCTAGAATTTAACACACCTAAAGCTTAACTCATTTTCCTCAGTAAACTTGCTCTACCCTCAGGCCTCCAAATCTCAGCTGATAGCACTTCCAGGTTTCTAATCACCCAAGTCCACAACCTCAGAGTAAAAGAATGCCTGTCTGATCTACATTGTCAGTTTTCTAAAAATAAAGGTAGTCCTAGGTACTAGGATCAAAGATATCATATAATCATTAAAATGTTTTCTGAAATATGTTTAAAGTTAACTCAATTTAAGTGTAGGATTTAGGTTTTGACATTTTAATTTCTTTTGAACATAAGTCACTTTTTGCAAGCTAGGGAACAGAATCAAAATAAGGCAGTCTAGTCCTCTAGGATCCAGGCCAAGTCTTGAGATCTTCAGCAGAATGATGTAACACAAGGCACTAACAACGGGGTTATAGAGTCTCAATAACAACTACTTATCTACACTTTTCCTTAGGAAATAGCCAAAAGTCTGATCCTTAAAGGCATGATATACAGAACATCTTGACCCAAATTACATACTGGCCAACCTACTGTGAACCAGATCAGAGCTGGTCTAGGACTGGTAAACAGAGAAAGTGCTTGTATTTTGAAAACTTGCTCTAAGGTTTAAAAAATTCCTGGTTGCTATTAATAAGAAAGCGAGTAAAAAATATTGCAGATGCACCAATATTTGATTTTGCCAAGGTCTTCCACTAGAACAAGAAGAGATGAGTATAGGGGATACGATATTTTCAAAATAAATTACTTAGTAATAAGAAATTGACATACTGCATTTTTCCATTTGCCACAAGAACTGACAACAAAGACTATTTAAAAGTAACACTCAACTCTAAAAAAGGTGGTGGCAACACCTCCCGCTACAGAATAACCTTCCACTTTTCTATACAATTAACACTGCTATTATTCCATGATACAGGTTCATGTGGAAAAACTTGTCAGGAGCTTTAGCTAGAGCCAGGAAATGAGAAATAGAACATGTACTAATTAGCTAATTGTAAGCTCAGTTAACATCTTTAGGATGGATCCATAAAACCTGGCCATTGTTTTGTTAAACATCTGCAAACTGCAGAATTCCTTAGCCCTTATCCATAGTTTCTGCTCAAGGTCTTAAAGCTGGGCTCAGTCCCATCTGACTCTTCTCAGGGCTGAGATGAGCGCTAGTCATCGAAGTCTGGAATGTCATCGTAGGAGTAACCCCGGTAGCCTTTGGATGCATAGTAGGCGATGCGCAGGTGGTAAAATCCTGGCAGGAACACCAGGATGCCAATGATCAGGACGGGAACGGCCCGGTCTGCCCCCTGGTGGCAGAAAGAGGCAAACGCATTAGTACCATGCAAGTTATGAATTTTAAAATAAAGATATGGGTCCAATCTATAGATCGGTATCTTATAGTTTTTTTTTTTGGGGGGGGGTCGTAGAGGTTTTTCTTTGGGTAATACACTACCAAGTGAAAAGATTTATCTCTTTTTCTCCTGATTATCAATTGTAGAAAAACTGCAGAGTACTAAAATGATCTATGTTCATCTACAGATATTTTGGCTTATATTCTTCTGCTCCTTCTTCAATGTTTTTAGTTGTGAACATCTCTGTGCCTTGTTTTTCTCTTATTATAACAAGCTATTGCCAAATTACTAAAAGCTCTTCACTGGGGCGGGGAGGGTGGGAGAAATGGGTGAAGTGCTCAAAGGGTTCAAAATTCCAGTTATAAAATAACTAAGTCCTGGAGATGTAATGTACAGCATTGTGATATAGATCTTCAAAGTTCTCATCACATAAAAAAATGTATAACTATGTGTGGTGATCGATGTTAACTAGACTTACTGAGGTGGTCATTTCAAAATATGTACAAATAGTGAATCATGTTGTACACCTGAAACTAATATAATGTTATATGTCAACTATTAGTTTATAACATTCCACTGTTAATGAATGTACCACAATTTTACTTAACCACCACCCACCCCTACCTTAACTGTTAGATACTTTGGTTGTCTCTCACTTTTTGTGACTATACAGGATACCAAAATAAATTACAGTGTTTTTATTGGCCATTCAGATTATTTCCTTAGTGTATATTCCCATGAGTCAATTCATAGCTCAACGAGGGAGGAATGGGAGTTAATCTCTTTATCAGTAGGGCTTCAGCTTTTAGGAGAATTCCATGAGGGCAGGGACTTTGTTCATCCCTGCATTCCTAGCCATGCCCAACATATAACAGAGGCTCAATAAATGTGCTGCATGAATGGATTCACCTTCGCAAAACTACTCTTAGTTTTTCAGGTACAGTTTTAAATGTTTACACAGTTAAATTTATCTTTCTTTTCCTTTGTGATTTTTCCCACTGTTTTTAAGCTTAGGAAGATTTCCCTCATCCAAAGATTTAAACCCAATCTAAAAATCTCCTTCTCCTTTGTCTCTTAGAGGGGGTGGAAAGGGATTGGCATGCTCTATAGGCCTCCCCAGGCACTAGAAGAGGCTGAGACCCAGGGTGTCCCTGGCCAAGGGCAGGTGCAAAGGTGATAACTGTCATGACGCCTCGCACATATCCTCTACTCTGGAAGCTGTTAGAATCCGACAGGCGTGCAGATGGACTGCCCTTGCCCAATGAGCTTGATGAGCATCCCTTGGTCTCCAAATCACAGGACTGAAAGACCAACTGCCTCTTTCCACCTCCACTAGCCTCTGGCTGCACAGCCAGGTCCTGCTTTATGACAGGCCTACTAGAGGCCAAGGGACCATGCTGCCTCTAGCTCCTTGATGGGCTAGAGGTAACTTGTGTCTTCTAACCCCTTAAGAAACACAGGTATTGTAAGGAATGAACTGGTCACTGTATCTTGTATCAGTTATGGTTCCAAGAAAAGCAAGTATCACTTTTGGCTGCATTAAAAGAAGCATCATGTATTTAAAAAAAAAACAAAACTCCTTTTAACAGGGCTATTTACACGACGTATACTGAGAGATTATCTAATCAATGTAATTTTGGCTGCTTCATTCACAGAAACAGAAGTATTTACCTCATATGGTTATAGTGAAAACTAAATGAGGTAATACATATAAAGCAAGTGGCCCCAGCTGGCACACAATGACTCAATAAACATGAGCTTAAACTTAAGGAGAGACTTTGAAGATGCTCCCTCAGGCCAAAGATGAACTAGTTGAACATCAAAAAGAATACTACAACTCTTATAATTGGACATACTTGGTGCTATTTCTGTTATATTATTTTACATTTTCTACTCTTCTGCTTCTTTCTTTTGCAGGATTTTGACTATATATCCCTAATTGGATATATCCTAAGGATTCAAAGAATTGCAAAGAAAACTTACAACGCATTCAGCCTTGCTATACTTAGATTAATACTGCCACCATTATTGTGAAGTTATATGTATAATACAGAATAAGGCAAGTAAGGGATTGGCATGCTCTATAGGATAGATATCACTAGGATAGACATACATATATAAAATCAATTAGGTTCAAACTCTAATCTTAAATTTGCATTGGAAATATGTGTATATCTATATGATATATGTATCTATATATTATGTTCTCTTGTTTTCTAAAGGATATCTATATCCTGATTCTGTCACTGAAAAGGCCTAGAAACAATGAAAATCAACAGCAACGATCACCATTAATGCCCAGTTTCTGATCTCTAAGGCTACTTCTCATAAGGAAACCAGGGTCCTTAGAGATATGGCTATTTATAAATTGCGGGGCAAGAAATGTGTAACTGGCATAATATGCTGCACCAGAAAACAAGAAAGCTATCAAAGGCTTCCTGGGTCCGTTTAAAAAACACAGACTTAAGTTGAAAGGGCTCCTACTGACCAAATTTGGGACAATTTATATGTTAAAAAGAATAAATAATGCAATTAGTTGAAAAACATATGTAAAAAATGATGAGTTTATAATGATACTAATAATTCTTTGGTCATCTGTTGAGGTTGTTAGGTGTACTGTTATAAAAGTTAATAAAGAGAAATAATCAATTTTTTTCTACCTTCATCATACATGCTGTATTTCAGGATAATCAAATAGCAGATTTGAGAAAGCCCTTTACAGAAGAACTTCAGCTGATAAATGCAGTAAATGATAAAACTAGATTACTAGGTGCAAAGGGTGATGGGGCAGTTTACAATAAATTAGGCTTAAGATATCTGAACTAAGTAATCAATCTTAATGTCGACTAAAAATTAGGAAAACTATTATGTGCCTCTTAATGTAATGCTATAGCAATGTTCTCAAAACGTGGTCCTTGGACCACCAGCATTATGTGCAAACTTGTTAGAAACGCAAATTCTCACGCCTCACCCTAGACCTACAGAATCGGAATTTCTAGGAGTAGGGCCAAGGAATCTCTGTGTTAACAAGTCGGCCAGGTAATTCTGATTGACATTCAAGTTTGAGAACCAATGTGCAATATTAAATACATAGCAACTCTTATGATATATTCCTATTTCATAACTTAACTAAATCCAAATTTAAGCAAGTCCCTAAATCTAACAGTTTACAAGAAATATGAGGAATAGAACAAGGCAAATGATGTTGAGACAGCACCTCTAGATTTATATAAAAACTGTTAGAGATGCATACTGAAGATGCACACTTAAGAACTTATCAGCAAAATTTATCCTGGCATTTTGCTTTAATATATAGGAAAAAAGTTGGGAAGATATATGAAACAAAACACTTATAACTATTGATACTGGGTGGTGGAGACACAGGGATTCATTATATTACTCCATCTATTTGTTTTGTTTGAAACGTGAAAAAATCCCAAACAAAAACAAAACCTATCAGTGATTTTCTTAACATCTTTACCCTTACCTATAAAGCAGTTTTATAAACCACACAAAGTGATATTTGTTGCATGTGGATCTCACTTCCACTCTTAATTTTTACAATATCATTCATTAATAGACTCCTTACTATACCCCTGGGATTTATAGTGCACGCTACAATGAAAGTTAACCAAAGGCACAGTCTTGAAGTTAGGTGTTCAAATTTAGATTGCACCTTAAGTATCTGGTGGCCATATGAGAGTTTTAAATAGTTAAGAACCTAAGGCAAATTAGATATACTTCTTAAAAGCCATAGGTAGCTATTTTATTGTGACAGTGCTACTACTGCCAATTCCAATGATAACGCCCACAGTTTTAGTTCTTGGCTGTGTTCCTTCTGCATCTCTTGGCCTGGTATGTTGAAGAATGGAAATGAATTATGATCAATAGTAGTTCAGAACAACTTAGATGCTGTGTTTATGTGTCTGTATGTAGCCCAAGAACCATCAAACACTTTAGATTCCTAAGGTTTCATTTTGAAGTTCAATAGAAACTACAACCAAACTCAATATAAGAATCTGATTCATGAGCCAAAAGTCCTGGCTTGGTCAGTAGCCCAGACCTTCACAAGCTTCACTGCTTCTCTTCAAACACTAACTAGTATGTCTGCAGTACTACAAAGCTACAAATCAGCATTCTACTTTAGTTACTGCCTTTGTCAGTCAGAAATCTTGGATCCCTGGCTCAGCTTTGCTGTTCCAAATAACAGCAGGAAAATTGCTCGACATCTCAGAGGGAAAATTTGCTGACTTGTCACCACCTACCTCAGAAGAACTGTGAGAGAAGTTTGTTGTTCAAAGGAAGAAAACACGTTTTGTCATCAGAGAACAAAATCTTTAAAAAAAACAAAACAAAACAAAACCCTTTCTTCTTTGTGCTGGAATCTGCTGTACAAGATATGAATATAAAACAATTTAAAGACCTCATGGCACACTCCCACGAACCCTTCAGCTTACCCCTTTGCTGATGTAGCCCGCAAGCAGGAGGGAGCCTATGATAATGAGAAAGGCGCCAATCAAAAACAGCACTGTAGCAAGTGCAATGGCCTTATAGGGGATCTTAGGCGGGCTTTTCTTAAACTGGAAGAGAAACAAACAAAAAAAAGACAAGGAAGAACATTATGCAAATACCAGGGTTCAAACACTTTAAAGCAGGGAGGACAATAAGAACCAATCTGGAAGCTTTGTGTGTCTTGAAGTAAGTCCTACCCAGTGCAGCTCTGGGAGAGAAGGGAAAGGGACAGGCAGAAGATGAAGCTCTACTTATTGCTCTACCAGTCACTCAAAGGAGTCCCAGGAGAATGTTATTCTTTCTAGCTCTAGTCTCATTCCAAAGACTGTAAGAAACTACTTTCTTACAAAAACAAAAAACACTTTATGGTCATTCATTGATTAGGCATGTATTTATTAAGTGTCTGGCATTTGGAAGGTTGTGCTAACCTACAGGGATATTCAAGAGTGAACATCATGCTCTGGAGAAGTAAAGAAAGTAAGTGATTTCTGGCTTTCAAAGTTAAGTTAGTATATAGTCAAAGGTTTTAGAACCAGCTTCTCCTAAAGCATTAGTTGTCTACCCCACGGAGCAAGTAATCTGCCTTAACAAGTTCAATTCAAGGTTATGATTCAGGTTAACCTTAACAAGTTCAATTCAAGGTTATGATTCAAGGTTATGATTTCTAAGACGTGGCTCATGGTTTTATCTGACCTAACTGGCTGGAAGCTTCCCAAATGAACTTAAAAAAAAAATCTCTCTCCTTCAAGTAAGGGTCCAAAGAGTATAAAGAACAATTGATTTGTTTATAATTAAAAGGATAGCTTCCTGAGACTTCCTCCTTGACCCTGGTTTCACCTAAAATATTCTATTCTATGAAGTGAGCAAAAGGAGATGCTATGCCATTAAGCATTTTACAAAAAAAAAAATGACAAGGGTAGGATACAAACTTAATATTCTCTGTTTTACTTACTGTTTGCCACAAAGAATACCTTTAATAAATTGGATCTCAGGACATCAGGAAAGAAGGAAGATTTCCACAAGCTGTTGGCTTTAGCAGTTAGTTTCTCCCTTAAAAGATGAACTGGCTTTGACTAAAGTGTAAACCAATGAGGCAGTCCTTAAAAATATTCTACTTAACAAAACACAACCTGATTATTTTCTAGATAAACTAAATAAAATTTGCAATTACCGGGCTATGGCATTATAACTAAAAATTCTTACAAATGGACAATATTTATATTGGTTTGAAACTGCTCCGCCAGGGTTCCTCCTTCTGCAGGATATAGTTGAAAGGGTCTCAGAGCTAAGTTTCTTTCTTGCTGCTCCCACTAATCCCCAGGGACAGTTAGCAAAACCTCCACCTGGAAGGTATTCCTGCTAACTCATCAGAAACAGAGCCAGCCAGTCTCATAAGCTCTCTTCTGCATTTACCTGAAGGTCAATGTAGCCATCGTCTGTGCTGGAAAGCCTTGAGTATTTCACTTTGCTACTAGGGATTCCAGTAGCCAGGTTGGTACGAGATGGCATCATAACACACTGACACGGCTACAGTCTGAAAACAAAAAAAACACTGTTATTGTCTGCAAGCAACAATGTTTTATAACCAATGAATTCAGGCCTCTCAGGTGCTGCGTATTAGGGTTCTGGGCTGTGATGACACACTAGAAACTGGCAATATAGGCTCCACTGCTTTTAGAACCTGATATTCTTTTAACAAAGTGAAAAGACTCACTCTCCCTCATTAGATATCTACTCTGGTTTGTCCTGATAGCATGAGAGTCAAGACACTGGCCAAGAACCAGAACTCATGTTTACCTTGCCACCAACGTTCCCCTGCCTCCTAATTTTTCCAAAGTCACAAAGGGTGGAAGAGTGGGGACTTAAATTCAAATCCATTGGACACCAAAGTCCACACTTTCAACCATCTGTTATAGTATCATTTGTCTCTTGTCCCTGCTTCAGAAAAAAGCAAGAGGAGCTTATACTCAAGTGATCTTATTTTCCAGAGGGAAGAGAGGGTGGAAACAATACACTCACCTGAACAATTTGCCTATTTCCCTGCGATGGATGTCATCCTTTTAATGCAAAGGACTTGTAAAGCTTGTTGTAAATTTGGATAAGCTACTGGCTATCAGTACAGTACCAATGTATTCTGATTTGCCTGCCTCTCTGCCCCACCCAAACAGTGAAACTAGTGATTTCATTTTCCATGACTTCTATAACTACGTTTTAAAAAAATCATTGCTATTTTGTCTCAAGTTTGATAAAGAACAATGACATTTAAGTTGAAATACATTTGTGCATTTTTCCTCCATAAAATCAGTTATATAAATAAATCTATTTTAACTGTGAAGGTATTTCATTTCTAAAAGTGAAACATCTTTTAAAAGAGGAAACTGATTATTTCAATAAGGGCAACATAAAAAAACGCATTGGCCTTTTAGTATGACATTTTACAAATAATCATTATAATAACAGCAATTAATAATTACCTAGTGTTGGTTAGGTGCCAGGTGCTTTATATGTACTTAATCCTGAATATTAATGTGTTTTAAGTGGCCTACATTCAACCTAGAATAATTAGCATCATGAATGAACTCGTGCTAAAAGCTCATGCCACTTTTTAGTAATTACATACTGGTGCAGAAATCAAGTATTGAAAAAAGTGTATGCTAACTCATGCTTTCCTGAAAAGTGTTAAAGAATAAAGTTCAACCAAGTAAATCTGAAGCTCTAATTGGCTTTATTATTCGATTCATGAATCAGGCAGCATCCCATCTAGCAACTGAATGGAGCTTTGATGAGTTGTACAAAAAAAGGTTTTTGTAGGCAGAAAAGGGGGTTGAAACTACAATAAGGTTAGTTATTAGGTTTTGGTCTGGTGACACGGCTTAGCAAAAAGTGACTGCATTTTGGCCTGTTATTATTTTTTTTTTTTAACAAAGGGTTGGTCAAACTGCCTCAAATACTAGGTTTTTAAGTGTTGCGATCCCGATTAAGTGATAATCTAACTTGAATTCTATGAAACTTAAGGTCCAAACTACCTTTATGTGGGGGTTTTGAGGGCATTTAATCACCTCTGATTTGTATTAGTCTTTCTTTTTTTTAAAGTTTACCTACTCTGCCATTAACTGTTCATACACCCACATCAAAATATAAAAAGCGCAGAGTATGAGGGAGAGGGAGAGGCAAATGCTTATCGGTGGCAGAGTAAAAATGCTAAAAGAGAGAAAAGGAAAAACGTAAATCGATGTTTTCAAAGTACCAGTCCAAGTTCCCAACAGGCTCCACCCAACCTCCAAATTCCCTCAGCATCTGAATGTTGCAAGAACTTAAAACGCATCGGCATCACTTAGCACAATAGCTCAGTGCCTGGCACTAAGCGCCTGCACACACACTACTTTCCAGTCTCCAGACCTCACCAGGAAGAGAAATAAGAACCGAGGCGAATTTAGACGGAAAACAAACAAAACCAATTTCTGGAAAGAGGCCAGCCGAGGCGGGCGAACGCTGCACACCGAGGACTCGGGGCTTGATTTTGGCGACGAGTGCCGTCTCCGCCACGCCGAGTCTGAAGGGACGCTTCCGCGCCAGTCCCGTCGTACGCACGCCTTACCGGAGGGCCGCGCCAGGTTGCCTGCGCGCCAACAGCTCGCTCACGGTTGGCAAAAGGGACGCCCGAGCCTTCATGGTATGCGTCACCTAACTGCCGCCCCGCCCCAACAAGCTCAGCGCCGGAAACCGGCGCTCCGGAAGTGACGTCACCGGGAGCGACGTTTTCTCATCCGGCTCTCCCGAAACGTCCCGTTTCAGCCCTACGCTAACGCGGGCGGCCTTAAAAATCTGGGCCTTCGGGAGGCGCCGATGGAGTTATGCCCGTGAGGTTTAGAGAGGCAGCGGAGCTGGGCTTGCTGCCAACCATCTCTGCAGGGGCAGGACTCAAGGGTGCTCGCCCGCCTGGGTCAGTCATGCCCAGGGCGAACGGGCTACATAGCTTTCCTTGACCCCTCAGGCAATGTAGGGAGCTCAGTGGTACCCCAAGGAGGCGGAAGCCAAGCTCGTCGGAGCTTCCTGAAGACCAGAGCTGCCAGGTCTACTGCTCAGCGCACTGAGCCTCTCACGGAGGCTTGCCAAGGTCTCTGTTATGCCACTACTACTCTTGAGTAGCCCCACATTCTTGTGCTTGTTTCCCTCTCATCAGGCCTTGCCAACGTAAGAGGCCCGCCCACAATGGACATTTTGCCACACGTGAAGCCTTTTAAAATGTCAGATTTATTATGGTAATTTACATACAAGTACAATTGAATGAGTTTTGACAAATGCAGTCTTGAAACCATCACCAGCCTAGATAAAATATTTTCATCAAAAATCCATTAGGCCCCATTTGCTGCCAATCTCCTCGCCCCAGCCCCAGGCACACAGAAAGTAATCAATGGATAGTTCTAAAGTCAACTAGAATTCAGTCCAGATACATTTAATACACCAAACAAAACACACCAGGGAAAAAAAAGACTATAAGGCAATTCTCAGTGTGTAGTTTGTGACCTTTTAGCACAATTACTGGGAACGTTTAAACATTTGTTTGACAAATGCTAGGCCTTTTCACTTTCTTGGTTGAATTTAACATCCATGGAATAAATTCCATCTTTATCCTTTAAGGGAATAAGTCCCAAATAAGGCTACTTATACTAGAGAAATTATTTTTGCACAAACATACTCCTTGAGCCCTATCACAGATCTGAAACTTGCAAGATTCTTGTAAAATATTTCCTAAAGAAACATCCTATAATAATGCATCTTACAAAGCCCACACAACTTTGAGTACATTAACCTTCTGAAAGTGTTAGTTTTTGCTAACAAAAATGACAAATATAGAAAATTTGTTCTACTCCCCTGGGGTTCAGCTCTTGAGCTAAAGTTAGAATACCAAATTAAATTTGGCATCCCCCCAAATATCTTGCCACCTACCGTATTTGGAGTACTTTTTATAGTTATATCTAATGTATTTATATCTGGCTGCTCTAGACTAAAAAAATAAACACATTTTACACAAAAGGTAGCATTAGCTAAGAATTCCCTAGGATACTTGCAATAAGTCAAGGTCCAAATGAAGGCACTGTCCTGTGATGTTTGAAATGCAAATAACTTTATTTAAATTGAAAACAATTCTTAAAACTGCATTAATGGTCTTTAAAAATCCTAAGCAGTTTCTAGATAAGGCAGAAGTAGTTCTAGATTAATAAGACCAGGTTTGACTTGGGACTTTATCCTTTAAACAAATTATAGAGAATGGACAAAAATATAGATTATTTACAGAAAACATTATCTACATGTATACTCAGAGGTACACATTTGGTGACAGAAGAGACTTAAGGACATGCTGGAATCTCTGAAGCAGTTCTCAAAGAGCTTAGTTTTATTTTCTTCAATTTTAAGAATGCCTAAGATCCTTCTTCATCCTCGATCTTGGGCGCCAGATAGTACTTTAAATGTCCCATATCGGCAATTTTATACTCTACAACTGAAAGACAGGAACACAGTTACTGAGAAGTACCACATATACTACCTACAAAACAATATTCAAGAAATTTATTATCTTACCAAGGGGAACATCTGCAGACATACTGAGTGTTACTGTAGGAGAGAGTGGAGTAGCTTTTGTAAAGAAGTTCAGATATCTCAGTGCAAAAGTTAGCTGAACTGGCTCATTCATCTCTATGGTAACCTAAGGGAGAAAACAAAGGATTTGGAAAATTGAAAAACATCAAGAAAAGTTGCAACCCATTAGTTTATAATATCAATTAGAAAAAAACCTTTCATTTTTTTGGAGGTTGCTATGAAACTAATTTTGAAGACAGGTTAACAAAGCAAAAGAATCAGGTATTTAGCCTGCCCTTCCCCATATGAACTGAATCTCAGGTAATCAAGTTATGTGATGAGAGCTTCTCTTTAAAGGAATATTTCTAATAAACCAGCTAACAAATGAATGAAATGTTAACATATTAGAACTCTGTAAACCCTAATGACTTAATGAATCTAAACAATAATTGTGTGCCAGTATTACAAAAAGGCATCCAGACACCTCATGAGTCCTACTAGAGGTACCCACCACCATCTATTAAGTATTCTTGTTCTCCCACTCCACAACAGATATCCTGAATCTCATCGAGCATATAGAGCTATAGCTACTAGTTTATAGGAAATACAGGGTAGAGGAACCTGTTGACATAAGGGGTGCAAATGGCAAATTCTGTATTCTGGGAAACTCAACGACAACTAAATGACCTACCTAGTTTCTTCAACAAATGAAATTATAATGGAGGGAAAAAAAGAAATTGAAAAGAGAACCAATGAACTGAAAGAAATTTAAGGGACATATCAATCAACTACAATGCAATGTATAACCTTAAAATTTTAATTCAAACAGTTCTGAAATGACCAAGGAAAGAGGAACACTAAAAAAATTCCTTAATATTGAATAATTTTCTTAGATGTGGTAAAAGGTTAATGCTTATGAGATTTTTTAAAAATCAAAGTTGCAAGGGACTGAAATGTAATTTAGGACAGATAAAATTCAGAATTATCCCCTAGGTTTTTGTTATTAATATAATTTTCTTAATGTATTTAAAGAGTTTTACTTTCATTTAAACTGAGGATTGACTTACCCATGCAAGGGACAAGAAAACAATACTAAATATTTAATATAAATTTACACTATGTTAGAGACTATGTGAAGCACTCTGAATGTTACCATATTTAAATCTTAATAATCCTGTGAGATTAAGCCCTTAAGCTGTCCTTGTTTTACAGTGTTCACAGGCTAACAAGTTTTATTTTAGTATAATTACCAAATATTAGTTTATACATACTCTAAGGATCTGAAAAAACAATGAAGGAAAATCTTAATTTAATGATATTTAGGAATTAGAATGTTATTTTTTTTGGTTAAATGAAAGTTCTCTAGGTCCCCTTTTGGGCCTACTACTAGAACCAATTTGTTAATCTTAATTAACAGAAAAGATAATGTGAGGATTATGGAAGAGCTCGTAACAGCTAGATTTTTACCCCTCACTAGATCCCTTCTATCGAGTTGCTGTCCTATGCTCAACTATTTGATAAAAGCAGAGTAAACACCTCCAGAAAGCTTGAGTTTGATACAAACTCATTGTTCCATGGTTTGTAAAGGCAACATTGAATCTGCATTCCCTTTTCACAAATTATAAATCAGATGGCAGATTTCAACTGCATTCCCTTTTCACAAATTATAAATCAGATGGTATCTTTCACATCTCACAAATTACATAGAAATAAAATTTTGTCTGTTTTTCTTTAGTCTTCTCTTTTAGCAATTACCTTGCTATTGACTGTGTTGTCACCCCGCCACCCCCACACAAACCAACGTGATGGCATTTGGAGATAAGACCTTTGGGAAGTGCTTTAGAGTCATGAGAGTAGAGCCTGCACAAATAGGATAAGTGTCCTTATAAAAGAGAGTCCAGAGAGTTCCCTTGCCCCAGGTAAGAAGTCTGCAGTCTAAGAAACAGGAAGTAAGTCCTTACTAGGCAAGGAATCTGCCAATTTCCCAGCCTACAGAACTGTGAAATAAAGTTCCATTGCTTGTAACCACTAGTCTATAGTATTTTGTTATAGCAGCCCAAACAGACTAAGACACAACCTAATATTAAGCAGAGAACAATTCTCTTCAATATATTTTATCTACTTAAGAATTACTTACAGCTTCCTCTTCCTTATCGACATTACTTGTTTGCGACAACTTAATATTTCCATTTCCAAGTTCTCCACTTGCAGAAAATTTCACTCCGTCCTTTGCACAGGAAATTACAACAGCATCTCCAATATGACTGAGATCTCGGCATATACGTGCGAATTCACCAGAAGGCATCTTTACTACACAGCTATACTCTTGTTCCTGTAAAACAAAAAAAAACTTAAAGGTCTATTGCTGGAAATGAAAGATCTGACACACTCACTTTCTGAAGAATCAGCATCTAAACAAGAACTCAGAATTTAAGACTTTTGATCACTTTGAAACCTCTCATTGTGATTTCTTAACACACTCCCACCACTCAAAAAGTGCAGATATAAAACAAGTATAAGAATAATCATACTAAGAAAACAAATTAGACCTTAAATTAAACCTTTAACAGTAAATGCACTCCAGTGAACTAGAGCCCCCCCCAATCACCCACCAGGGCTAAAAAAGAGGCCATGAGAGTATGGCACAGGGACAATGATGGTGCAAGAAGGCCTACCTGATTTCCAAAACAAGAGAATATATAGGCATTTTAGACATTTCAACACTTCCTCTCTCCTTTAATGTTGACACATCTAATCTTAATAAATTCCTGCCACCATATCTTTAAAATCTACTCTAAAACCCTACTTTGCAACATGCACCAGAGAAGATATATAACTATTAGGAAGTATGCTTTAAATTATATTAACATAGCTATGTAACTATCGTGTACAGTATACCCAGTCAGAAACTGATACTCACTGGAATTCCAAGTTGTTCAACATCTAAATCCATTAACTTCATTTCATAGTCTGAAACCTTTTCTTGATCTACCAAAAGGAAGCAAATATTGAAGAAAAGCATGTAAGTTTATAACTACAATGTAAATTTTAGAAGCATCGCAAACATTATCTTAAATTTGTCACAGCTTTGAGAAATACTGACACTGAATTTTAATTTTCTTCAGCATAACACAGAAGAATAGACTTACTTGGAGCTTCAAATACTAGTGCCAAGGTGTCTGCATTATCTTCAGCCCTTAGTGTAATGATGTCTTCGTTGCCAGCACACTTTAGTATTTTGGACATGCTAGACAGAGAAGACACAGGGTTTAAAACAGACACCATCTTCTCCAGATCATTAGATTTCTAAGCAATTAAAATAAGGAGTTACCATTTTACCCATTAGGCTGTCTGATGAATTGGCAAGTTAGGTAAAGGTACTACTAGGACGTTTAAACCAGTCCAGCCATTTTGGAATGCAATCTGACAATATTTATAAACTAAAAAGCTCAGCCTATCAACAGCAATTTTACTTTTGGACATAAATAAAAGAGCAGTATTTTCTAAATTGCAAATCCATACCCCAAAGACTTGAAAACCCATATCCGAAAAGATATGTGCACACCGATGTTCATAGCAGCATTATTCACGGTGGCCAGGACATGGAAGCGATCGAAGTGTCTTATGATAGATGATTGGCTAAAGAAGCTGTGGTACATATATACAATGGAATATTACTCAGCCATAAGAAGAGATGAAATACTGCCATTGGCGACAGCATGGATGGACCTAGAGAAAATCGTGCTAAGCAAAATAAGCCAAAGTTGAAAATCACATATCACTTACATGTGGGATATAAACATAAAAGCAACAAATGAACAGGACAAACAGAGACACATGGACAATAGACTAGTGGTTACCAGAGGGTAGTGGGGAGGAGGAAGGTAGATGGATAAAGGAGGTCAAATACGTAGTGACAGAAAGAAATCTAACTATGGGAGATGAACACTGTAAACATATATGTGCCTCACTGTTTAAGGGTACAGCTGAAACATTGGATTTTGTTAACCAATGTCACCGTAAAAAATAAATTAATTTGAAAAAATAAATTGCAAATCTATTTAGTGGGTGAATAAATTATTGGGCTGTGACGACCATTAAAAACGACCTAAAGTTGAAAGCCACTGCCCTGGAGAAATTTTCCAAGTCCAAGAGGGGTGCTCACCGCAACTCTGTAATAATAAAAGACCAGAAAAAAAACTTATTGTCCCTAAGTAAGGAGACAGAACTAGAGAACATTATAAGGCGGTTAAAGTCAATCAGGACTATGGTTTCTCAACCAAGGCCTCCAGCACCTAATGACTAAAAAGCTCTGGAAGTGTTTTCCTGACAGCGCAGCGAAGCCCGTCATTTTCCCGCCACCACCCGCTTTGTGCTTTGGCGCGGAAAAAGTCGGTTCGCGCCGCAGTCAGCGCGGGCTTTCGGAACGGCGCGCTCTGCTGGGTCCCGCCCCGCAACACAACAGGCCAATAAGAAGGCGCCGATGGCCCACGCCAGCCACTGAGGGCCCGGCTCGGAGGCACTCCCGCCAAGAACCGGGTTTGGGGGTGAAGGGACGAAGGCACGATTCCCCGCCGTCCCCGGGCTCACCTGGTGAGGTTGACGCCCATGGCCAGGTTGCGGTCGCAGCGGTATGTGTCGAAGCCCTCGGAACGCAGGGTGAGCTGCACTAAGGAGACGTGGGACGAATCCATGCTCTGCAGGTTCACACCACTCGAGCTGATGTCCCAGCAGGCCTCGTTGATGAGGTCCTTAAGCGCCTCCAACACCTTCTTCAGGATGGAGCCCTGAACCAGGCGCGCCTCGAACATGGTGGAGGTGTCGTAACGACGCGGCTACAGGTTAAGAGAAGGAGGGAGGAGTAGCCGGCTTAGGCTTCACAGGATGAGAGCAAGCGAGAGGTAGCAGTAGGAGCCTGAGACAGAGGAAGATGACAAGCCCGCAGCGCCTGCAAACCGTTTAATACGCCGCGTATGCGAGCGCGCGTTCTCGCCGCGCCCCGCGACAAGACGTCACCACGCTGCCCCGCCCACTGCCTGCGGAGAGACTCTAGGACCAACCGTGTGCCTGCTCTGCGCGAAGACGCCTCTTCCCCCAGCATCCATTGGAGAAGGTGGGGACAGGGGCGGGGCAGGTACGCGGCACCTCCTGGGAGTGACAGCGGAGTAGGGCGAGACTGCACCTCTTTTTTGTCCCGTTCTGGAGTCTGAGCGCTGGACATGTGTGGGCGTCAGTGAGGCCCAGGTTGGGGTTCGTGGAGCTCCAGCTTTGTGGTGCCTTCTCAACCTCTCGCTTCGAGGACAGAAAGTTTCCAGTCGTGAAAATGAAACACTACGGGGGAGAGGAAAAACCGCCTGTAGTCTGAGGAGAACAGCTGCTTTAAATGTGCAATAAATGTGACGCGCTCCTAAAAGTCAAAGATAAAGATGGTGTATAGTTCCGATTTAACAGTTATCTCAGCTCCCGACGACCATCTGTTAACACCCGCCCCCATACAAAGCTCATATCCCTCGGTTGTTTTGTTTACGGCTTTCTAAGCCTTTTATGTAGAAAATACACATGTAAAAAAACAAAAATGGGTTCATATCGTTAATACTTCTTCAATGCACTTAATAAAGTATATTTAATTTTAAGCTACGTACAGGTATTATATATCAGTACCTTTTAAGAGGGCATAACACAGGCATACCTCAGAAATATTGCATCTTTGGTTCTAGACCATCGCAATACAGACAGTATGGAAAATAGAGAACCCTGATCTTTTTGTGGCAGGATTCTGCCTTCAATTTATAAAAAACACCACAAACGTGAAACAATAAAGCAAAGTGCAATAAAGTGAGATATGCCTGTATCTTATGTTTGTAATCTAATTTACCAATTTCTCATAATTACAAACACCTTTGGGTACTTTGGTGCTTGTGAGACAACTCCTTGTAGACTGCATAAACATTAAATATTTGATTAATATTACTAAATTGACTTCTAAAAATTGCACTTTCCGTGCCAGCCAAGACAAAGAGCATGCTCATTTCCTCTGATTTTCCTAACTAGAGATATTAGCAATCTCAATTTTAAATCTGTGCTCATTTGTGTGAAAATTCCATTTGCATATTTAAAAAGTGTTTCAGGTCAGGCATCTCTCATATATTTCTTGACAATTACATGCTTACATTTTTTTCTACTAAAATTTTTCTTACTGATTAAAAGAAGCACTTTAGATATTGTAGTAGTCTTTTCCCTATTATATATATTCTTCCCCGATTTCTCTCTTGCTTTGATTGCAGCATTTCCCTTTAGTTGCATTTGATATCTTATGGTTTGTAGAATTCTTCAGTTTTTCTACAATGTATCTGGGTGTGGATTTAGTTTTATTTATTGTGGGCAGGGAATTTTATGTTCCTGAATCAGAAGGCTCATGTATTTTATCAAGTGTAGCATATTAACCATTATGGCTTCAAATATTGCCTTTCTCTTCTCTATTCTCTCCCGCTGGCATTTGTATTAGATGTATTTATTTCATTGAATTTAAGATACCTTCAACTGTAAGATGCGCCATTATTTTATGCAGCACAAGAAAGAAAATAAAATGTCAAACTATCATACATGCTTATTTAGAATTTGTTTTGTGTTTATTGAAAGAACTTTTAGACTTTTTAAAACATTTGTATTATATGACTCTTGTGCATATATTAAAATATGTATACAAACAAAAAATTAATGGGTAAAGGCATTCCTAATATTTCTCCCAGTTTCCCGCTCAGTTGCTGATAACGCTGTTATCCCATATATCATATTCTGTTGTCCAGAGTGCTAATGATGAGTGCTACTCTATTGTCTCTGGAATTCCTTCCAAGTTTCTGCTGCCCATTTGTAAATTTTTATTAAAAAAAATTTTAATTCGATTTATTTAAATAATAATAAAAAAGAGTACATCCATTTCTCCCTTCCTGGCCTCTGGCAACCATAAATCTCTTCTCTGTATGAGCTCTTTTTTTGTGGGGGGCGGGGAGGAGGGGCGTTGTTCTACATATAAGAAAGATCATACACTATTTGTCTTTTTCTGTCTGACTTATTTTACTTAGCATAATACCATCAAGGTCTATCTATGTTATCACAAATGGCCATATTTCATTCTTTTTATGGCTAAATAATATTCCGTTGTACACATATACCCCTTCTTTATCCATTCACCCATCAGTGAACCCTTAGGTAGTATACCTTGGCTATTGCAAATACTGCTGCAATGAACATGGGGTGCTCACATCATTTCAAGTTAATGTTGTTGTTGTTTGATAAATTCCCAGAAGTAGAATTGCTCAATCATCATAGTTCTGTTTTTAATTTTTTTTGAGGAACCTCCATTCTGTTTCCCATAGTGGCTGCACCAATTTACATTTCCATCAACAGTGCACAAGGGTACCCTTTTCTCTACATTCTCATCAACACATATTTCTTGTCTTTTTGATAAGTACCACATGGATGAGTTTACTATCTCACTGTGACTTTGATTTGCATTTCCCTGACGATTAATGATGTCGAGCATCTGTTCATGTGCCCGTTGGTCAACTGTATGTTCTCATTGGAAAAATATCTATTCAGATCTTCTGCCCATTTTAATTGGATTTTTTTTGCCATTGAGTTTTCCGAGTTCTTTATATATTTTGGATATTAGTCCCTGTCAGATATATGTTTTGCAATTAGTGTCTCCCATTCAGGAGGTTATCTTTTCATTTTGATGATGGTTTTGCATTTGTAAATTTTGAATCTAGCACTTTCTTGCTTTATGTGTAATCAACTATCCTTTTGCGTATATCTTAATATCAATCGTAACAGTTTCCTCTATTCCTGAGTATTTTCTTTCTTAGGTCTTTTAAGAGTCTCTGGTTCCTTTGCAAAATGTGGCATGTGTTCATTCCTCCAGGAGAGGAACATTTGCTTTGCTAATAACAAATGTATATTTTGCTTTTTGCTTGCATAACAACATTTTGGTTTAATGCCAAATCGAAGTGTAATGGATTTGAAGACATTTAAAATAGCAATTAAACTCATCTATGTGGTACTCATAATGCACATTATCAGTTGAAATGAGGACACATGAATTACTATGACCTCTGGTCTGGGAAGGCCTGTCCCAGGAAGTAGCATTTTACTGGAGAAGCTAGCTGTTTGGGAAGTGTAAGAGAATTCTGGACTGAAAGAATAGTATGTTTAAAAAGGACAGCATGCTTAGAAGGTGTTGAGATAGTAGTTAGTTTTAGAATTCAAAGCTTTTGGGTGGGGGGGGGTGAGATGATTTTTTCTTCCAGTTTTATTGTGATATAATTGACATATAATAGAACTCAAAGACTTAATGTTTATCTGGAACACACTGAACAGTGGGGAGAGTTGTGCAAGGTGAGATTGCAAAGAGAGGCAGGGGTGAGATCTTATAGGACTTTGCAAGCCTTCTGTAAATGCAAAGGAAAGTTATCAAAAAGGTCTTTCGCATGATCCAATTTTATTTTAAGAGGATCACTTTAACATCTGGTAAAAGTGCTATTCCAATCAGTAAAACAATTAATTAAGTAAATTATGATCAAACAATTGGTTAAACTAGTCACTGAAGTTCACTGAAATAAATTTCAGATATATTGAAGAATTAAAATTCAAACAAATGTAGAACTAATAAGAAATGCCCAAGTATTTTGATAAATATTTATGAGATTTTGCTGTGGGCTTCTAAACATAAAAGGAATAAAACATAAAGGATGACTACATAAATTTTAAAACTTCAGTATGCCTGAGAGCACTGTGTCGGTTAGTATACTTTAGATTTCCATGACAGAGAACCCAATTCAAATTAATTAAAAGAAAAGGGGAATTTAAGCATCATCTAAACAAAAGCCAGAGTTACCTGGCTTTCAGTGTTCAAGGCCCCATCTGTATGAAAAAATGGTTAGCCATACTAATTTGTCTAGAAATATAAATTAAAGGGAGATAAAATTTAAACGTACCAAATTAATAAAATTAATAAAATTTTTTTAGTACCCATTTATTAGGAAGGGTTTAAGGAAGTTGGCATTTCTATACATTGAAGATGGGAGTATAAGTAGGTATAATTTTTCTGGTGGTAATTTGGACATGTGTATGGAAAGTCTTAGAATTTTGTTTATTCTTTGACAGAAATTCAATCTCTAGGATTGTAAATCCTAATCTAGGATTACTAAAGAAGTAATCTGAGGAATTTACTAAGATGAGGCATGTTTAAGAATGTTTCTTATAGATTTATGAACAATTCCCCTGAAATTGGAAGGAAACTTGAGGTTTAACAATATGGGCTTTGTTAGGAAAATTGTGATAAATCCGTAAGATGGAATACCATATAGCCTTTCAAATACCATTCTCAAAGGACATTTAATGATAAAGAGAAAAGTCAGGTTATGAAACAGTATAAACAACAGTATTCCAATTTTCTCAAATTGTTATACCTGGGTGTAAGTATACAGAAAATAGAAAAGACAAGAATATAACAGTAATTATCTGTGGCTGATGATACCACAAATGATTTTAATTATTTTTTTACTCTAGTTTTCCGCATTTCCTACACTTTCTTCATCAACCATGTATTATTGACCAGAAAATGTTAATGAATATCGGGAGAAAAAAATGCTGTAAACTATTTTTTATAATTTCTAGCAAATTTCTTTACAAGGTAATATTACATATTAGAGTGATTCTCAATTAGACTCACCTGGGGAGCTTAACAACAAACGCCTATTTCCTCCAGGATCCACCTCCAGAGATTCTTATGTAGTCTGTCTAGGATGAGCCCTCAATTAGTACTTTTTAGAAGCTAGCCAGTTAATTCTAATGATCAAGATCAAGAATTACTGTTTCAGCATGTGTGATCAAATAGATGAATAATTGTGCTTAAAGCCACCCACCCTCTCCCCAAGGTAGACTATTGCTTTGAAAAAGTAAGACCTACAATTTGTCAGAGGGGAGACTGACAGTGTAGTTTAGAGGGACTGTCTAATAATCTTATAGGTCTGTAAGTTTGTGGGAGTGCAAGATTTGCATTTTTGAAGGTGTAAGAAGTTTGCCAATTCTGTATAGCCCAGTCTCAATTACATTTTGTATATCACCTCATTAAATCGAAAAAGTTTTAGCTGAGTACACTTGTCAAACTAAACTGGAAAGGCAATATAAAGGACAGGATAAAGAGCAGATAAAGGCTATTTTTGCTTATTGATGATTCTTTAAAAAATTTATTGTTTAAAGAATTGTTTATTGACCATCCTTCTAAGAGAGGAAAAACATTCAAGGAACTGAAGAATTTTCTTCTCACTTGTACAAATGCAATTTTTAAATATCAAGAAGGGCAGAGGTGTTTTTATGATAGAATAATAATTACAGCAATAGCTGCCCATTTATACTGAGCATAATCAGTCTGCAAATTCTGGGGGACAAAGAATCTTATGTCCATTAATCAAAAGAATATCTCAAAATAATGAAACTAACCAAGGAGTGCAATGAAATCACTGTACACAAGATATGCCACAAGCCTGGAAGAAATGACCCTAGAGGGAAGTACTAATATGAGAAAAAGAAAAGAAAAATCAGGAATAAAGAAGGAGATGTAAGGTAATATAAAAGAATAAAATTCTTCTTTGGGCTGGAGGTGGGGGGGATTTTTACTTTTAATTTCTTACTACAATTGAGGGAGAAACTCTAAAGCTGGCCTAGTTCTGTTAGCATGGCTTCTAGAGGTCTGAGTACATGATTCCTCTTCTCCACAGCATTGGCTTCAGGAATAGTCTTGATCTGAGCTCAGTTAGCCTGGCGGGGCTGAGTGTGATGGATGAGATGTTTGTTTGTTCAGGCTAAATTGTAGGGGATTATTTACCCTAGTAATCATACTGTGCATTCTGAAACTCTGATCTACGTGTATTGGTTCTCCAACCTCCTTTATATTAGGCTATTTGAAAAGGAATAGCTGAGTTTCTGGAAGGACTGATGTGATGTTTACTCAAATGTGACCTTTCATAATTATGTACCCTAAAGGTGAGGATCTGGATACCAACTCCTCCACCTATATCAGAGGATAACCTTGAGGCTCTCTCTGTGTTGATGTCCTTCTAGATCCTTTAGATAATAAATCTTGCTTAATTTACTCAATAGGTGTCTCGTCTTTAGATCCAAGAAATGACCATTGACAGTCAAAATGGTGATCGCAAAAGTCCTCAACAGATTGAGTTTTAAAATCATCATGAGCATGTTATTACTTTTATAAATAATATTTTTAAAAAAGGCAAAATAAAATACAAAAGCAAAGCTTTCTTTCAATAAATTATGGCCTGAAGGGAGTAGTTTCTTTCTCAGAAACAAAAACAAAAACAAACCCCAAAAAGTGTTTGTATAATGTTGTTAATAAGAAACAAAACATATCCTCAATTCAGTGTTCCTCCACACCTATTTTACTGTCACTCTGAAGTACTCTTGCAGGAACTTGGGAATATCGTACAGAAATAAGGGAAATACAATGCCCTTCTCAGAATTCTCACTATTTTCCCCAAAATCCACAGTTGCTTATACGAAACTGCAAACTGGAATGTATCTGTTTCTCTCCTTGTTAAGTCACAATACGCTTAAAGGAAAACACTTCATTTTATACTTGTTTTACATCTCTTACAAGGCAGCGATTAAGAACCGCTGAAGGCAATGCTTGAGCAACATAGGTTAGTGTGGGCTTTGGTAAGGAAACAGACCTCTAATTCTTAGTGGGTATTTTCTAGCTGTGAGGCCTTGTTTAAATCATTTTCCTTCAGGAAAAAATTTAAACCTATTCAAGTACTTAGGATGTGTTAACTACATAGAGAATCCGGCTATGAACAAAATAGGCAGCATTCCTTTCCCAAAAAACTTTCAACAATCCCAAATACAGAAATTTGAAAAACCACGGAAGATCTTATTTGTAAAATGAAAATCACATCCATTGCCAAGCGTCCTGCAGATCAAATGAGATAAATTAAAGCGACTGCTTGGTTCAGTGCCTAGCACATAATTAACGCTCAGTAAGTACTACAGAGAACTTGGCAAAGCGATGCAGATTGAAGTTTGGGTTTCACTTCGTTACCACGTGACGACCTCAGCTTACACAGCTGGGCTCCCCAGGCCTTTCCTGAGTGGAGAGGCGTCTACCTACATGGTTGAGGGAAGAGACCAGGATACGGAAGACACAAAGCCCAGAGCGGCAAGCAAAGTTATAGCTGGGTTAGAGCCTGCAGGTTGTCGCCTCTCGCCTTCAGCAACCCGTTACCTTTAGGACCTAGGTGCCAGCACAGATCATCCGCGGTCAGGCTGGAGCTCCTATTGGCTATTCTTCCTCGGAAACGCGCACCTTTTCCCGCCCCCTCAGATTTATGTCCAATGTACGCCTATCTACTCCGCTCCGCCCCACCTTCGCTGCCCCGCCTCCCTGGCGGAATCTTGTCATTGGTAGATCTCCAGGGCCGTGAGAGTGGCAGTGCGCATGCGCACTTGTTCCGGGGGCCCTCCGGGAAGGAGCTAGTTGGCTGGGTTTGGCGCCCCGCCCGGGTGAAAGGGTGGCCGCGGCGCTGGGTGGGACCGAGGTCCGGGGCTGGTGGCCGAGCTGCTGTGGGGCCTACGAGCTGCTGCAGAGCTGTGCGCTGCTCAGGCGGGGCGGGGCCGGCCGAGTGGAGTCCGCGCGCGCCCTGCTGAGCTGCCCGCTCCGGCGGCTGCGCTGCTCTCCAGCGGCGACATCGCGCCGGAGTTTCCAGCATGAACGAGCTGAGGCTTAGGGCGGTCCGCGAGCCGGACGCACCGCCCGAGGACAAGGTAGCTGCGGCATAGGGGTGGACGCGGCCAGCGGGGCGCTCCCCGGAGGTTCGCGGGGGGCGTGCAGAAGGGACGTCTATCTCCTGACCTTTTGTCGCGTTCGACGGCGGCACCGGGCCTGGGCAGCGCGGAGGATCCTCGGGTGCCGGCCCCCAAATAGTGCGCATCAGGGGTCAGCAAGTTAGGGCCTCGGGGACCTGGCTCAGGGATCCGGTTGGGGGTGGTGTCTCCGCGGCGCAGGAAGGGGCGCGCGGTGGTTTACGCACGGCCTCCTGCCTCGTAGGTTGGGGGTCCCTCTCCAGGCCCGTACCTCCCGAGGCCTTCCTGGGTGTGAAGATGTCGAGACCCCTCAAAACTGTCTCTGGCAGACGACTACTCTGAACCCGATTTAGGCTCTCCTCACCCCTCTAAAACTTGAAGATTTTGGGGGGAGGTATCAAAACAAGGTCTTGGGACTCATTTATTAGATTTAAATCCCTCCTGGAAAGTGAAATCTGTTGGCTTTAAGCGGAGAGATCTCTTAACTCATGAAGTGAGCAAGTGTTAGAAGGTATACTCCCAATAGATGAGCTTCTTTCCTCCAAGTGTGGGCGTTGATGGGGTAGAGTAGGGTTAAAAAAGAGGCCATTTTGGCGGGGATGCGGCTGGATGGGGGGGTGAGGGCTGAGGGGAGTAAGATTGCTTTCGTTGAAGTAAAATGTCTGTGTAGGACAGTCGAGGAAGGTGGATACTAGTTGTGAGTGTGTAGATGTTGAATGACAGCATAAGAGTTGGTAGTTCGTGGTAGTATTTCAAGCCTCGGGTTAGTGGTTAGGAGCAGTGGATTTGGTAAATTGATCTGTCAGTGATGGGTAGAATGGACTGAGGGAGCTTGGACCAGAATGGAAGAGACTAGTTAACTTGGGTGTTGCTAATGTAATGGGTGACCTGCAGATGTTTTCTTTGATCCATATGTCCTTTAAAAACGAGAAGATGTCTCCTAACAGTCTGAATTTCGTGCTTATTATCTTGGATAATTGGAAGATCTGCCATCACGTACCCACCTAATTAATTTGGAGCTGAGGAACAGCTGTTCCCACCTGTGCCTGTTGCTGCACAGTAGGCCTACAGCGCCCACTTATGTAACTTGCAGGTTTTGATAACTAGAGGAAAGGAACATTAGGGAAATATCAGGAAGGAAGAAAACACAAGATTTGGTGACAGACTGTCAACAGAGCATTTATACTAGGAGGAATGTTTTGGGTGAGAGGTAATGGGGTTTTCAGATTTTTTTGTTGTTACTATTGACAGTGGATCATTCAAGGAGAACTCTCCATATTAACTTTTAGAATATATTTTGGAGAAAGTTTAGGACTTCAGCTCAAGTTTGAGTTGCTTGCATAGACAAGGTACTTCAAAATCTCTAATCTTTCCATTAAATACCCTGGTTGGGTCTGAAAGAACCCTGTACCCACCCTGCACATACTAGTTGGTGAGTGTTCAGATGTTTGGAGTCTATGTCAGCCCTGTTTAAGGGTGACAGGTCAGACTTGATGTTAATGGGACTTTGTGGGCCTAGAAGATGTGAGAAGAGGAAGAAAAAAGACATAGCTAGTGGGCTAAATTTTTGAAAAACTATTTGTAATAACAAAACCACACATGAGTACATGCACAAAAAAACGTTTCTACCCTCCCCACCCAACTCCTTGGATCCATCTCCCAGAGGAATAGTTCCAGCTGATTGTTAAATACTTTCTCATCTCCGTTTTCGGTAGGGAGGACATGAGGAGCTGTCCAACTGAAGGTGCCTTAATTTTTTACAAGTGCCCTTAAACCACTTTATACAATGATAATGCCTGGGGTTGTGAGGTCTGCTAAGTGCATGTAGCTCCTAAAACACAGTGGCTACTATATTCTGTAAAAAGCCTGATGCAGCCCATTAGCCCAGAGTAAGGCAATCAGCTTCTCACCCCATCACTCTGGATTATGCATAGGATTTTTAATAATAAAGATATATCTTAAGAACTGTAAAATGCTTTACCTTTGGTGAGTGTATATATAGTTGAGTTTTTAAAAATCTTGATTTATTCCATTTCATAGTTTGAACAACTTTGCTGATATTCTTGTTAGAATTTAAGAAAATTAGGAATAGTAATTTAATAGTAGAAGAATTTAGAAAACAATATCAGGTCAATTCATTAAAAGAACTGGAACAAATATGAAAGATTCTTTAAAATGTTATAGTTGCTTAACTGACAGTCATTAATTTCAAAATAATCTGGAGAATGTGTTTATTATGAAAGTCAGAAGGCATTTTGTTATATTTAGCATCCTAGAATGGAATTTTCAAAGCCAGTTGCTAATAAAGGAAATGTTTCCCTCTGGGAACTGTGCTTATAATTTTAAAGTCCCAAAGCACAGTATTGTTGCCAAACTAAGACATTTGGAATTTAAGCTTTGGGAATGACCTTTTTCCTACCCAACCTTGTGTTTACAGTGTAGCTTAAGAAAGAAGAGAATGAAGCATGGACTGGATTGTCATCTTAAAGTTTATAATTGGGTTGGCATTTCAGAGGACTTTGTTTTGGAGGTTAGAGTGAAGATTCTGGGGTTTGCTGCTGTACTTAGATGCTGGAGTGCTATTTAAATTAGAACTTTACTCTTTTCAAGGCTTCCTTTCTAGATTGATGAAACCAGTATTGGGAGGAAATAGTGATGGCATTTAGAAAGGAGAGTTTAAATTTTAACTGAAGACTGGTTAAGAGCAGGGGCTTAGGGTGCTATTCTGAGCATGATGGGTAGAATGACCATCATGCAGTGTTCTCTTCTCAATGAAGCGTGCTTTTTGAAGAAAAAAAAAAAATCAGGTGCTAGATCCATCTTGAGCCTGGGCTCTACTGCTTAAGAGCTGTGTGACTGAGCAAATCACTTGTATAAAAGCCTGTTTGTCCATCTTGAAAATGGGGATGATAAAATAACATGTGCATTAGAGGATATTTGTGTGGATTAAATGAGTGTTCATGTTACATAGGTAGGGCAGGAATAGTCACATTGTAATAATGTGATAGCTATTGTTTCTGATGAAATATGGTGTTATAGAAAACTCATTAAAAAATAAAAAACATCTTCTATCTATGACCATGCCACCCTGAACAAGCCCCATCCCATCTGATCTCGGAAGCTAAGCAAGGTCGGGCTTGGTTAGTACTTGGATGGGAGACTGACTACCTAGGAAGACCAGGTGCTGCAGGCATAAAAAAATAAATAAATAAGGGATTGTAAGCTGACAAGGTCCTTGCAATCTGTGAGGTCAACCGAGGGTTGCCTCGCCAAAAAACAACAACGATAACAACAAAACGTCTTCGACTCTTGGAAGATGATTAAATCTTCAAGTTACAAGTGTTTGGTGTAGTCTTTTCCTACTCATCACCTTTTAGGGAAAGTGTATGGACAGGACTTGGCCTTCTGTACCTATCTTTTCAGTTCATTTTCTTGCTGAATTTTTGTGCTCAGAATCAGTCAAGCTCTAGCTGTGGAAGGGGCATTACTATATACAATTATCTTACCTTCGTAGCACTAGCTGTAATATATTTTAGAACAGTGATGAATAATTAAAAATGTTTTTTTCTGATAGAATTTTAAAACTACTAGAACAATAAAATCTTATTTTAAGAGCTATAATTACCTCAAGTGTAGGAGAAATGCTTTATTTCCAAACAGTTTTTTACATTGAGAAATACTTTGGGTATTGAAAAATTAGTAAGCCCTTAATTATGGTTCTCAGACTTAAATAGGTAGAGAAGGTGAAAGATTGATTTGTCATAAACCCACACTTTAAGTTTCTTAATTATGTTTGTCAAACAATATAATTTTGTTTTAAAAACTCAATTACTCCCCAGTTTATCAGTACTTAAAATTAATTTTTTTAAAGCCGAATTTTGTTTAAAATGTTTCATTTGCACAAATTTGTGAGATTTTTCATTAGAAGAATTTATATCTTTTAAAAATGTTAAATTGCTCTCATCAGGTGTTAGAACTTGAAGGGATCCTAAAGATCATTATTTTATAGATGTGGATGCCATAGCTCAGAGAGTTTACTTGCCAAAGGTCACACAACCTGTTAGATGCAGAATGGTTAATAGTATGTAGCTTTTGTAATTCTTGTGTTTTTTTTTTTCTTTATAATGTTGCATAATGCTGCCTTCAAGGGTACAGAATTAATTTACAGACTTTAAAAACTTTGGCACTGATTGACTTTGATAGAAAAAAAATGCCCAAATGTCATCTCTCTTATGAGGCTACAAAAATTTAAAAAAAAAAAAAAAAAATCCTTCAAAATGTCAAATATATATAAAAAAGTAAATTCTCAGATAGTAAGTGTGGAGATTCTGAGAAACAGTTTTTTTGGGGGGCGGGGGGGTGGTAAAAGTTAATTAGGTTCATTTTCCCCAGTTATTGTGTGACTGGTGATTATATATTTTGAAACCCATCTCTAGGAGTGGCCACTTGAATATCCTTCAAAGGAACTCCCAGTGAGGTGCCGGCTTCTCACTCTGAACTACATGTGAGGCTGCTCAGAATAAATGCTTTCTGCTTCATGACTCTTACTATCAGAACTGTTTCTCCTAGCAATAATCAGTCATTTGGTGTTCAACACACCTTCTCCTTAGGACATTCATGGAATCCAGTGTCTGCTTTATATGATCTCTGTTAGCTTTGAGGGAGGAGGGCTAGTGTCTGTGTTCATTAGGAAAATGTCCAGGATTTCGTACCAATTTTGGCTCCAAATCCATTCTTTCTCCACTGCTTTAAAGATATTCTATAACTGACTGCATCTGAAATGAATCTTGTAACTAATTTCACAGCTCAAATAATCATTGTTTAAACCTTTTAAAAATTGTCAATATTTCTCATTTGTGTACTCTTCCATCTTTTCTAGGATCCACATAGGTGGAGCGTATTGAACTTGTTAGTGTATTGAACTTGCAGAGTGACTCACCTGCACACAACTTCTTAATCTG